GTTCAAAGTAAAACTGAGAGAGAACTTCTTCAGCTGTTGTATCTTATCCAATCTGATGATATGGTAAGGAACAGAATGCTGACGGTCAAGTTATAACGTTTGAGACCAATATAAAGGGCTACTTACAGTCCAAAAATTGTTCGTGATGATTTGATATACCTCAGGTTGGATGAACTTGCCATTCTTGAGTTTTGTTCATGTTATGTTTTTTTGTTGTTGTTTTTCGCCTGTTTTTCATCCACATGGGGGCAACCCTATATATCTTTGATTCAACTGATTTAGCTCCGTCAGGGCAGGCCGCTCGAACCCGCGACGCACCTGCGTCTCTCGCGCGCGAGTGCTATCTGATCATTACCTAGCCTTAATTAGGTCACGAAGCCTCGCCTTTGCCGAAGCTCAGCCAATTGAATCAATTGTAACAATATGTAAATAAATAAATGCGATGCTGCCACTTTAATGAATTCGCATTCCCGTTGAGATGTTTAAACCTTGCACATTTCGCGCTCCCGTTAGGGCAAAAGAAGTGACGGCGCAGTATACGGGACCCTTATCGTGCAAACTGAGTGCGGTATTCGTAATCAGCTGACAGATGGGCCCATCCCTCTCAAAAGCACAAACTTTCAAGCAAACCTAAGGTTTTGACCCCCTATAGTGCACCTCCAGTAACTCCAGGAGGTGGTCTTAAAACACAAGAGTACGACATTTATGATCATCAGTTAGGATCATCAGTTTGAACTAACAAGGAGAGCCCTTTCAGTCCAAGTGGCTTTTCCAAATGAATCCTATATCTTTGAAGAGCGTTTAATGTCAGTTCCAAATCTGTTTACGTTATCAGCTAAGCGCCTCTGCACTCCGAGTAACGATTCTTTGGAGCGAAAAACACGGAACTACTTGAAAAATGGTTACGATCTCTTCTGCGCTCAAGTCAATCATTGTTGAAGATGAGGGTATCAGAAAAAAGGTATCCATTGACTAAGTGGTGTGATAGTTAACACTTGACCATTTGAGCAGTTTTGGACGTTTTCAGTTGCGCATTCAATTTTTCGACCTAAAAAACGCTCGTGACTCGGCCTCTAGAAAATAAGGAAACATATTCGGAAACTGTTCGATGCCTCTACAAAGTGATATAAGTGTCATGTGGAAAAGCTGCTTTGACTAAAAAGGTTTTCCTTGTACGTTTGGACAAAACTCGCGATATCGAAATTCGAGTCCGCATATCGATATGGCGTTCGCGGCTATCAGCCACTGCAGACGGCTAACGGCGGGTAGTGGCGGCTAGTTGCGGTTACGGGCTGCTATGAGCGGCTGACGGCGGCGGCGACAAGCAGCGAATTCTAACGTGGTGTGAAGGCATCCTAATGTTCACAACCCGCAGAGTGTGCGAAGTTTGCTCCGGATAGGTTCAGATATGCAATTTTCTATTCGCAACACACATACAGATACAGATATACTGACATGTAGGTAGAACAGACACTTAGTTTTATGTAAGAGATGGTCACTTTCACTTTGCGAACGCTTCTGCGGCCAATGTCAGAACGAGAACCGATTTAAAGCAGATTTTACAGGCAACAATCGCACCACCTCAAATTATGTTTTGAAAAATAAGTGCAAGTTCTGTAGATTTTATAGGCAACCATCACACTACCTCAAATTAGGTCCTGAAAAGAAATTGCAAGTTCTATGTCATTCAAATTATGTCGCGTCAAGCTCTAGTAAAAGGCAGGTACGCTACCGATATAGCAGGTATATTGCATGATGCAGCAGCTTGCTGATTGTGGCTGCCTCAAGGTAGAAAGGAGCTCAGAGAGCTTGTCTAGCAGGATCTGGTGAAGCTGTCTTGGTTTAAAGGCTAGGAAGGCCCGTTTGTAATCTGTATTATGATGGAATATTTACTCAGATACCTAACTCAAATGGTCAAAATTTCGACCTCTCAAGAGTACCGAGGGTCTCGCAAGCGCTCAGATAATCGCCGGGGGCAGGCGTTATGCGATTTATGGGCGGGCGGGCACCGGAAAAATAGTTCGCTGATTTTCTGCGGTCCGCTTGCAGATATTTGGAAGAATTTTAGCGAAATTTTGGACCGCTCGGAGGACAAACGCGGTTTCCTTATAGATTAGCTGCGGCGCAGCGGCTGCATTCTCGCGGAGTTTCCGCGGGAATATGCAAATTTTCGAGGGCCGCACGGTCCTTTGTGGAAGACCGCGCAGCCCCCAGGTACTTTCCGCTGAGGGAAAGTACCTCAAACTTGAGTAATTAAACCATCGATGACACCTCTGCTATATAGAGTCTCACCTTTGCTCAGCGTATGCCCGAAACTGCGTTAAAAGTGTCCTAGCGCTTGCTGAAAGTTTAGTCAGCGCTCGCTGGAAGAAATTATTTGCCGAGCGCTTGCAGAAAATACTGTATTGTTGCCCGCTGGCAGAATACGCGACCGTAAAGGAAGTGCCGCCCGCTGAAGGTCTGGCCACGCCCCAAAATTTTGCTGACCGCTTGCAGAAAAGTGCGAGTTTGCGGGCCACCTCCCCCGGCGATTATCTGAGCGCGGGCAAACGCTCTGATCGTTCTTTCTGGACCTGACAACTACATGGTGATCGGGGAACCTGAAGAGAGTCCGCTTCGTGACTATAGGAAACTCCACGGAAATTCGGGATTTATAGAAGAATGAGGTGCTCTGTTAGTGCCTCTGTGATTAGATCTGATCAGAAGCGAAATGACATATCAAAACTCTCGATCCGTTCTTGATATAGCAAATATAACTTTCCTTTCATTACAAGCAAGATATGTATCTCGAAAGAAAAAAAACTCAAAACATGGCTTTTATAACTAATTTGGGCACTGCGCTCAGTCATCACTTTATCCTCCCTATTTGACCTTCTGATAGATTTCTTGCAAAACTCAGGTTTAAGTTATTCCATGCGCATGGATTGATTGGATTAGTACTGTTCCGCAAAGGAATGACGTGTTAGTCTTCCACGAAGCAACGAAGATTTGCGTAGGATTTAGTTTAAGGGCAGTGGATTGGCAAAATGGACCCATCTCTGATTTTGGTGGTGTTAGGTAGTGGACCCCCCCCCCCCCCAAGAACACTGTAGTCCAAACCTTGAACCCCACCTGCCAATTCATGCGCTAAGTTCACAAAAATGCTCTTCAAAACTTCACCAACCCCGCCCACTGAATGGAAGTGAGCGGATTCGGTGGGGTTTTGAAGCGCAATTTTCAGGAATTAGCACGTGGATTGGCAGGTGGGGGTTAGGGCTACCGTGTCCTGGGGGTTTACTACTTGACACCACCAAAATCAGAGAGGGGTCCATTTTTCCGATCGAACACAATATGGCGGCCATCGCAAAAGCAAATTCCTGCACAGGACACGGATGATCCACAATGGCGCTATAAATTAAATTTCTTGACCTGATACTACAACAATAAAAAGCGATCGGTGATTCCCTCCTTACTGCAAACTAGAAGCAGTACTATCAATGACAACCATTCCGTTAAAGTTACAAGGCAAGAGAGTTAATAACAACCAATCAATGGCTACATACGTCTGAAACGTCTGGTTTCCCTTCCTGAAGTCAAACGATTTCGTCTTATCGGCAGATAGGGATAATGAAAATGAACTTTCAAACAGAATTAGATTTTCATATCAACCGTTTGATTTAGTAAGAAGATTTCAATATAAATTTGTTAACGTAGATTGTGGACACATGGTCATTCGGTGAATCTGATTATTCAGCGAGTATATGAACCTTTAGTGTACTCTGAAACAGACAAACATACATCGCAAACAGCAATAAAGCAAAGGAGTTCCGAAAGTGAACTTTCATTTGCCTACTACACCAAACAGTCAGTTCGAAGCTGTTCCTACATAAAATGTATGGAAAGACTGTGTCAAGATTGTGTTGATTGACACTGAACGACGACTGTAATACAGCTGCAGGATTTTTGATATGGTATAGGGATTTCTGAATCAACAAGAGTACATTAAAACTGTGTATATAAATTCCAATTAGCGCTGGGTTTGTCAGACTGGCAAGTAGTTTCCATTTCCATTCTTCCACTTGCTACTTCTTTTACCCAATCAATTTGCCAAAAATCCGTAGGGGCACTATACCATAAGCTCATTATTCTAACACATTGAGTTATATAAGCGGCTTCTCTTTGTGCCAATTTCAACTTCCAGATAGATGTTAGCGATAATCTAGAAAGATAGGCAATATCTTTTCCAACTCGTAACTGCCTTAACTGCTTAACCCTATATCGTTCTGATGTTGAAGAATTGGGTATAGCAGTTACTGATATCAGCAATTCCAGCTTGTTTACCGAATCGCTTGATCCTCTAAATCGCTAATGTTATATAAAGGGAAATTTTTTTATCTTATAAATTCGTAACCACCTATTTCTGGCACCAATTTCGTTTCTTTATTCATCAAAAATAGCGAGAAATTGATAATCCGTGGCAGTGGTAGTGCCAAGATTTATGCTCGGGGGCCGGGGGAGGGGAGGGACAAAATTCTTTTGAGGTGCGTGTACGTGACGTTAGCAACATTCGACAACTTTTTTGAGAAGCTCGCCAAAATTTCTACGGGCCCATTTCTCAACAGAGAAAAAATTCATTACAAGACTGATTTAAATATCTGGGAGGAATCTTGAAAATGATTTCAAATAACAGGTAAACAAGTCACTTACATATTTTTGTCTCATGTAAAAAGCTTTCAAAAACTTCGCGAACCATTCTCGGAGGGGTACGGGGGAAAAGGAGTCTGCCACTGCTTAGTGGGTCTATGACGGTATGCATTGGAGTAATTTCTCGATGTGTATGTGTGCAAAGCCTTGGTCACCTGAATCCAAAGTTAAATTCTCCTCTATGAAATGACACGATATGAGAGATGCGCATCAGAGAGACTTATATACAGATTGTTCCTTGCATATAAGTAGATAAGGGACAGATTCTTGTGCATCAAAGTCCATATACCGCTTTCCTTTATTTAGAACCTTTTAAGATGGGAAACATCCTGCTAGTACTCATATTTATTGGCAGCAGCTTAGCAAGCGGCTTTATCGGAAAGGCGCTGAGTGAATCACCCGAAGTGAGCTTAACACAAGTTTATCAACCACGTTCAACCCTTATAAGGTAGTTCTAGACTTTGAGCAAGGCTGAGGAGACTCAGATTCTTGCCGCTCACGAAATCCTACATCAGCACGATAACGAAGTCAAAAACCTGCTTCAGCTAAGTCCAGAGCAAGAGCTAACCTTGCATAGAATTGAGGAGGTCGGTCAAGGGACTCGCTCATAGCGATTGGTAAATATTTTGGCGAGTAAAAAAAAGTTTTTACAGAGCTTGGAACCATTACAACATTACACTAATACCAGCGAAAGTATCTCTGTTGTCAACTCGCACTCGCCGATAGGGAATCTCTTGTACCAGAGTGACATAGAGCTAACAATGTATGAGCTCGAGCTTTAATCAAGTGCTTTTCTTAATATCACTTTTAGTCAACAAGCGCAACAGCTTGCGAATGAAGAAGCGGAAATGATTGCACAAAACGAAGGTGCTACGGAACTGAGCAGAAATAAACGACAAGCAGCGGTCTTTGGTCCTGGTCAATTTAGAGCTTGGCCAAATGGCGTATTGTACTATTCGTTGCCTGTCGGTACAGGTAAGTTCAATATACTACAAAACTTGAAGCTAAACGAAGATGCTGCCAGATCGTAAGATACAAAGCATCGCCAGAGAAGCGGCAGCTATTTGGATGAGGGATACTTGTGTGAATCTTGTTGAGGACAGAGAAGGTGAGATTGAAGTTGTGCTTTCAATTTCCAGTTTTCTTCTTTTCAGCGGAACAACGAGTTGAATTTAACGTATATGCTCCAGTCTGCTCTTCCCTTATAGGATGGGCAAACCAAGGGGTGCAATATATAAAATTTGCAAAAGGATGTCATTATGTGAGCGAATTTGCAAAATAATCTTTTTATAGTATGAGCCAGTCTTTGAGAGAAGTCCTCAGTGCAGCAATACTAATCTTCGCTACCTTTGTCGCACTGCCTATTCAAAGCATCAAAGTTGAATCATGGAAAGGATGCGTCAAATGCAGTGCAGAGCAAGCGCAAATAATCATGAAATACAGGGTGTCCCAAAAAATGTGCCAACTTTTGATTGTTAATAACTCCCTTACCATGATTTCGCGAAGGATTAGGTACCATTTTGCAGAGCTGGCATCAACTTAGATTTACAGTATGGAGCGCTTATCTATCTTCCTTCATTACTGTAATATTACGGTAAAAACTCGCAGGATATGACGCCATTGTGAGATAGGCTGTGCGAAAAAATTTCTCCAAAAAAATCTGAAAATTTGTGTAACAAGGTTTTCATGCATGCTAGTTTCACTACATAAGTTTTTGTGTGTTCGCGGAGTTTTTTGAACGACCTAATCAGATTTTCGACGATTATCAAAAATCCGTCATTACGTCATACCTGGCATATATTAAGAAACATTATGGTGAACTTTGAGCTTCATATTTGGAATCAGCTACTTTGTTTGACCTAGTGTAAAAGTTCTCAGCTTTCTCAGTCTTTTGTTAGAGGTTTGACCCTCAAGCATAACCCCCTTCAAAGTTCCGTAACCCTACAGTAATGGAACGGTAACTCGCTACATACTGTAAATCTAAGTTAAGGCCAGCTCTACAGAATGGTACCTAAAGCTTCTTGAAACACTCAACGACAAGAGAGTTAATAACAATCAAACAGTAGGCACATCTTTTTGGGATATTCTGTATATCTTTAGACATTGCTCCTGATACACATTACCACACTCACAATTGTTCTTAATTAAAAGTTACCATGTAAAAGAAGTTGCCTGTAATCTGCATTTAGGTTGGTACCGCCGTACATGAATTCGGTCATGCGCTTGGAATGCTTCATACGCATTCTAGACATGACCGAGATGATTACCTCTTTATCGATCCAAATCACATTCAAATAGGAGCAGAGCGTAATTTTGTCAAGGAGACACCAGAATCAAACAACAATTATGACATTCCTTTTGATTACGGAAGCATCATGGCCTACGGAGCACGAAGGTATGCATCTGCCCTGAAGTTATAAGCGATTCATCGCACACAGAGACGAGGTGCCAATGCAGACGCTGTTGGCATCTTTCAGGTCAAAGTCTCTCTATTCCCCTTTATCACTTCCTCTCTCTCTCCCTACACAAAATTTCTTGACGCAACGGTGCTCGTCTCTACGTGGGATGATAATTACCTATACATGCGAAAAGAAGATTTGTTGCAGCATGATAGCCTACTCCCAGCACTTTAATAAGGAATCATATACTATGGTACCCAAAGACAGGAATTATATCGACACATTGGGATCACAATTCATTGCTTTTTACGATGTGCTCATGATGAACAAGATGTACGATTGCTTGAGTGAGTTAACTATGTTAAAAGCCAACACGAGATAAGACAAGCAACTATGTTCTAGAAAAATGCGACGGAGTGCAACAGTCACCCGTGCAAGATAGAGTGAAGCGACAAACGACGCGGAGGGTTGTCATCACCACTAGAACAAGTAGCAACGGTGGTCCACCTGTGACCCAAACCCAAACTTTCACCAGCAACGACGGCGACCTTAGTGGCATCCTTTCTGGCATGAATCTCAATGGCTTTAGTCACCTCGGCGGAACTAACAGCCTCTTTGGGCGCTTAATGGGTAATCTTGGAGGGATGGAAGGCGGTAATAATGGTCCGAGTAACAATCATCTGAACGGCCATAATGGTAACGGACTTAAAGGGGAAGAAGGCGAGTCGACTCGTCCAGGAGACAGAGGCTCAAGCACCGGGGGATGGAGCGACTGGTGGAACTTACCCAGCATAATAGGTGGCAAACTTCCCGACTGGATATTTACAATTGGTGGAAACTGGGACTGGGACTACACGGAAACCACAACAACTACACGCCGCCCACCCACCACCCCTCGCCCAACTACCACAACACGTGCTTCTACGAAAAAACCTAAGCACCACTCCAAAAAACCCAAAACCCCCACCCCCACCACCACCACCACCACCACGCCTGCGCCTAGGCCTGCGCCTAGGCCTACGCCTGCGCCTGTGCCTGCGCCTGGACCGTACGTCCCATCTAAGCCATTACCCGGTCCAAAGTACAACCAAGGAAAATGCGCAAACGGTGGATATCCAAGCCCTCGCGATTGCTCAAGATGTGCTTGCCCACACGGATATGGAGGCCGTTTCTGTAACGAAAGGGTATGCATTTATGCATTCATTTCAGTGTGATCTAAGTTTGCATTACAGCCAGCAGGACCAGGAGAGATACTGACAGCCAAAACAAGCGTACAAACTATTAAGACCAGTGTGGGACATGAGGGTGTGCGTAGATCCGATGAAAGAATGGATTACGTGTTTCACTATTACTGGATACAGGTCTGGAGCATTGACGAATGCTGAACAATAGTGCAAAAATCTGTCTTCTACAGGCTCCCGCAGGAAGGAAGATTGAAGTGAAAATTGTCTCGATTGAAGAGAAACTTGCCACTGAGGGATGCACCTGGCAAGCCATTGAAATCAAGTATCAGAAAGATCAACGCCTGACTGGACCTCGGTAAGTGATGCTGGTACCTGGTACTTTGTTGAATAACTTCATTATCAGGTTTTGCTCTGAAAAAAACAATGGAAAAGTTGTTCTCAAGTCCGAGGGTAATCTTGTACCTGTCATAATGTATAGTAGAATCTGGCCAGTCGACTATGAACTACAATACCGCATGAGTATGTTTTTGCTGTCATTTTGTATTCATGAAATGTCCTACAAACACCTCATCTTCAATAACTCATTTTCAGTTTGATGGTACACGATCAGCAGCAGCAGCAACAACGGCAATTGCTTGATCATCGAGTTAATTTTCTAAGCCCTGAAAATAAAGCTCATCGTTGTGTTTTTGTGCTGAATGCATAAAAACTTTGTGAGAGAAGCTTCTGAAGTGCATGTTTGCATCAGTAAGCAAAAAAGTACACGATATGCATTCCGATGCAACTAGGATGATAGTGGCAGTTACTTAGGGGTTATTTAGGCTAGTTTCTCTCACTAGATCTACCATACTTTTTCTCGAGTTGAAAAAGTGTGAATTTAGATCTTAAACTAAACATATCTCCAACTAACAAAAGTTTTCAATCTCAATAAAAGCCAACTGATTGTGAGCGAGATGGTGAAATATGAGGGATTCGTAAAATTAGAAAATCCTTAACAAAACGAAGCGGTTTGGCCTCATCTAAGCAGGGGATGCATCATAGCTACCAAAAAAAGCCTTGTTATACTTTGTTTTTCGGAAAATGATCCATCTGTTCAAATAATCTGTTCCAAATTCCTGTCCTTGACACAGAAGAGAGAAAAATAACGAACCAGTAAGGCAAAACGGTTTGGTCAGGCACTATACTTCTTGCTCAACGTTTGAATCTCTTGGCTCTCAATATCCTGAGCTTCAACACATGTTCCACAGTCAGAATTCATTAGGCCTGGGACAAATTTGATTTTGTTGTCAAATGGGAAAAAGTTGAATCAAGACTTGAGTTCTGACAACAATTTTTCAATGTCCTCCCACATGTGCACAAAACTTTGCATTATAAAAAAAACAGGTGCTTTGTTCACAGCACAATGACGATCATTGATACTGATTTGAACTATACGTATAGCACACAACTTAAAACAATATTATGGAAAAGCTTCTTGTTTTCATTGATAAGTACGTCTCCATTGAACAGGACGATAGAATAGTTCCTTTGAGATATCAATTTTGCTGTACGATTTCCTTCTCAAACAACATAGTGGTCCACTCAAGGTGGTTGTCGTTTTTCCTTTCAAGAACTATTTCAAAGGCGGAAATTTGTAGGCATCGAATATGTCGTCTTCTGACTTAACCTTTGATTCAACTGGCTTGGCTTCGGGAAGGCGGGCTTTGTGATGTAATTGAGGCCGCTCGCGCCCGCAACGCACCTGCGTTTCTCTCGCGCGGCTGCTCTCTGACCACTAGCTAGCCTTAATTAAAGCACGGAGCCCCGCCTTCCCGAATCCAAGCCAGTTGAATCAAATGGTATTTTCAGATCTCTGGCCTCTGTCTAACCACGATTTACGAGGAAATTAGAAAGATTGAAAGAGCGCACAAACGGTTCTTTTCAGGAGGTTTTTCTTAACTATAAGAGTGCGCAAAAAAGACTTTGCAATATCGACGTGCTTCCTATACAAAATTTTTTCCACAATTCCAGTATGCCGAAAAAAGTCCCTAAAAACTGATGACTGGTTTTTCACACCAAACTTTTTTTCCGTTCTCACTGCTTAGGATTGACACCAGCTATCAGTTTTACTGGATCGGTGCAGAAGTAAAAGTAAAGGAATACTTTAACATGTGATCAAAGCAAATTTCAAATCTTTCCAGGATTTTGTTTGCTATGCGAGTATTGCGGGTATTGCGACGAGTGCGAAGATAATCGCCGAAGCTCAAAAGCCTTCGTTTTTACCGTGTAAGGTCCGCTAGCTTTCAGACCCAGGCCCATGAACTGACTTTTGACTGAGTCACTCACACCTTTTCAACCAAATATGGAACAAAAGGAACATTCTTTCTGTTTTGCAAACATGCGATAACTTCATCACACTTTCAACAAGCTTTTGCGAATACGCAACATCGTCACTTCACCTAATCTAAACAGATTCTGTTGCGTTGCAGTTCCATGCAATGTAAACTCATACTCTGAACCCTACAATCTATTGGGTTGTCCCAAAAGTAAATTCCTTTTTCAGATATTTCAAGCTGTTTTTGTTTCCCCGGTAAACTTAGGATGTCATTTTATAGAACAGATCAAGCTCTACAAAGTGTCCACCAATAATTCGCCTAAGTCGCATTCCATGGAAAGTTTGAAGCCAAAATCAAAGAAAAAAACTTTTGTCACCTGAAAATTGGATTTCTGCGACAAGGAATCCTACAGACTTCCAACTTGGTCGTTATACATTAGGCGCATAGTACTGCTCGGATATGCCTTTACCGAATTTTTTCCGAGCTTAGAAAGTGAGAAACAAAAATTGTCCAAAAATGGCAAACTCCGCCCCCAGCCCCTCCTACATATGTCATTGTATACTACAAGCCTTACTAAGTAATTTGTAAAGCTTATCCTTGTAATGTGCTCTTATGATAGAGAAATACCAAGTTATACATGGACCCGAAAAAAGTGGCATTTTGGCATTTTCGGAGCATCTTTTTTTCACAATAGACCCGGGAAAAAAACCGCAAAATACATTTTTGGGTACTACTATGTGTCTACTGAAGACAAAATTGGAAGTCCGTAGGAATTTTCTGAAAGGAGATCCGATTTTTAGGGTAGCTGAACAATTTTGATTTTTGGTCCCAAATTGTACCTGGATTACGACTTAGGTGAATCTTTGGCGGTCTTTTTGTAGAGCTGGCTCAGCTTTATCGAATGGTACCTTAAGTCTATCGGGAAAACAAGAACAGCTCAACTCATTTGAAAATAGAGTTTTTTTTTTCGAGACAACCTAATAGATTGAACATTCGGAGAACCACGCATAATCTGCAAGTGGAAAACCTATGGCTGAATCAACACCCATAAGCAGCGTAATACGTAGATTACGTGTTGAAGTGTGAGAATACACACGACGCTCCAAAGGTATTGCCGCAAAGATGTTCAGCGACTAACTCGTCGCGATCTCGTCACTTTGACCACAAAAATTTCCTGCGACGAAATCGCGACGATGAAATCGCTGCCGGTATGACCACGGCTTAAGAAATGTCCCTGCAGGGACTCTCAAGTGTGCGCTTTTCCCAGCAAACGCTGTTGCTACGAAGTTAATCAGAAATACAGTCATACACTGAATGAGAAGAAGTGGCACATTTCCCTTCGAAACAAGACTGACTGATTAGATGTGGCACGTTTCTCCAAACAAGAATTGCATCCATTTATTTGTTTTCTACCGCTATGCGTTGACTCACAGTTTCACTTTCAGGTGAAGGGTAACCTCCATATGCATGCCCAAAAAATGGAGAATGGAGCCGTTACTCCACTATCGCGAGCGTGCTTTTCGCAAGACAGGACAGAGCATCCCATCGAATAACTTCAAAGGTTGTGCTTGAATGGGTGGTCGCTTCCGGCGCTATGGAAAGTGTGTTGAATTTCTTGCACATGTGCTGTTTTCCTCCACATGCTTCGTAGTAATGCATTTTTTCCGGGGCTCTGCTCCGGACCCCGCAAAGACCATGTCCCTTTCGCTTTTTGTCCCAAAACAATGTCCAGCTTGCTTCCAAACGATCTGTGCCGGGCCCTGGGGTGTGAACATCCACAACACAGCTATCACGAATCTGTGAAAGATCACTGAACCTACTGCATCTCCATCGGCACCCGAGGCAAGTGCATACAAAATCTGTCTCTTTATTTATTTATCTTCAACTAAAAGCAAATTTAGTAAACCGTTCAAACAATCTTGCATTTTATCCTTTTATGAATGTGTTCATACCGCAGCGGCAGCCGCCGTTAGCGTTTTCTACCGCCTGTAACCGCAGGTAGCCGGTAGCCGCCGTTAGCCGCTTGCTGTTGCAATAGCGCTTTTATGCCCTATATAAGTGCCTAGGACCTAAAATTCCAGACTTGATCTTGTGCAAATTTGGTTCAGAGTGTTGTGAATATGCTGCATTACCATACCCCTTCACGTGGTGAGGCAGTTTTGTGAATTAGATAGGTTTACGGTTCAAAATCACCAACTTGGCTGAAATTCGGTCTGAGGTGTTTATGATGATGACAATGGACATCAGTAAAGTTAAAACTGAGAGAGACTTCTTCATTTGTCGTGTCTTATCCGATCTTGATGAAGTGGTAAGAAAAAGAATGCTGACGAAAGGGCTACTTACAGTCCAAAGATTGTTGGTGATGATTCGATGTACCTCAGGTTGGATGATCTTGCCATTGTTGAGTTTTGTTCTTGTTCGGTTTTTTTGTTAATTTTTTTCGCCTTTTTTCATCCACATGGGGCAACCCTATTTAACACAAATAAACAAATAAATGCGATGCTGCCGCTTTGATGCATTCGCGTTCCCGTGAAGATTTTTACACCTTGCAGATTTCGCGCTCCCGTTAGACCAACAAGAGCGGTGACGGCGCAGTATACAGAACCCTTATCGTGCAAAGTGAGTGCGGTATTTGTGATCAGCTGACAGATAAGCCCATCTTTCTCACCAGCACAAACTTTCAAGGAAACCTAAGGTTTTGACCCCCCTACAGTGCACCTCCAGTAACTCCAGGAGGTGGTCTTGAAACACAAGAGTACGACATTTATGATCGACTTTACGATCATCAGTTTGAACTAGCAAGGAGAGCATTCTCAGTCCAAGTAGCTTTTCCAAATGAATCCTATATCTTTTAAAGAGCGTTTAGTGCCCTAAGCGTCCTTGCACGAGTTACGATTTTTTGGAGCGAAAAATGAACACAGAATCTACTTAAAAAATGGATGCGATCTCTTCTGCGCTCAAGTTAATCATTGTTGAGGATGAGGGTATTAAAAAAAAGATATCCATTGAATGAAGTGGTATGAACTTAACACTTGACCATTTGAACAGTTTTGGACGAGTTTTCAGTTGCGCATTCAATTTTTCGACCTAAAAAACGCTCATGACTCGGCCTCTAGAGAAGTAGGCAGATAAGGAAACATATTCGAAAAACTGTTCGATCCTCTACAAAATGATATGTGTCATGTGGAAAGGCCACTTTGACTAAAAAGGTTTTCCTTGTACGTTTGGACAGAATTCGCGATATCGAAATTCGGGCCCCCATATCGACATGGCGTTCGAAGCGGCTATCAGCCACTGCAAACGACTAACGGCGGGTAGTGGCGGCTAGTTGCGGTTACGGGCGGCTATGAGCGGCTAACGGCGGCGGCGACAAGCGCGAATTCCAACGTGGTATGAAGGCATCCTAATGTTCACAACCCGCAGAGCAGTTTCGGCAGGATATGTTATAACATATTAAATAATTTACATTTGAATACAGACATAAAGACAATAAATATGAACTAAACGTTAAAACTCTGTGTATACATGGAAACAGCATCAGCAGACGCCTTTACAATGTAAGCAGCACAACTTTGCATTCCAAAATATCGTGCAATATCTAAAAAATGAATTATGGGTAGTATAAACAGAGATTACTAAGAAGCAAACCTCCTCAGATGCGTTTTCCGTTCTTCTATCGCTGCTACACATCGCTCAGATAATGACATTTCCTGCGTTGCAGCAGGTACTGGCTCATCCGGAGGAGATTTTGCCCTGCAAGCTAAAAGGATTTTTGGATTCAACGCAGGGGTAAGCTTAGGTCGAAAAAGCCAGAAACTGAGTTTTTGCTCGGACATTGTCTTTAAGGAAGCGATTCAATCGATATTCTCCTAGGTGCTTTTATAATGTTGAAAAAGTTCCTGATTAGTAATCCATCAGGTAATGAACTTTTGAGTGCAAAATTGATGGTTGATTCACAGTGTATGGTCCAGAGCAACTGTGTATTTCGCGAATATGGGGGGAGGGGGGTGGGGGTGGCAAAAAGGGAGGAGTTCACACTGCCCATAGTCTCTTTATGTTAAAGAGTTTGGGAGAAACGAGAATTTTGGAAAGGCCTTAAGCCACTTATGCTTACTCGACCCCACCAGGGGAAACAATTCTGAGCTCTTCTGAGTGAGATATTTTGATAATTTTGTGGGCTTCCAAAGGCACCTGTTGTTTGATTTGGGATTTTATCCCTAAGCATAAATAGTAACTTTTAAGCGTTTACTGGAGAAGTAAAACGAAGCACTGATGATTTCCCATTTATTTTTTGGAAGTTCTTGAAAGCAGGTGCTAACGCAAAAGGATGTATTACCTTTGCGTTGGCTGTGGAACCGTCGAAATCACTTCCTGGTCAGGATAGCCATTCTGCTGGAGGAACTGTATCACTTCCGCGTATGATGTTGTCATTCTGAAAGGACTCATGTGTAGTTTCATGAGCAAAAAAAAAGCCGAGGAAAAGAAAAGATTCAAAAGTCTATCACACCGTATCGAAACCATTACAACAACCTCTGCCACATCAAATGGCGAAGTTTATTGTCGAAAAATTTGGCTATGGCCAAGATTGTTTCTCTAATTTTATCGAATGAGGCTGGAAGGAGAAAAAAATGCTACTTTTTTAGGGTTTTCAGCTAAAACTGATATCATTCAGAGACTAAGACATATCCAGAGTCAACAATGTGGAGTGAGAGTTTCGAAGGCTGGTAATATAACTGCGTAGATGTCTGCTACATGCAGGAGTAGGTGAGGGGCTCTTAGGATCTTTTAGGGCGAAGCGATTTTTGACATTATAAGTTGCTCAAATTTACGTTTTGGCTTTGATTTTTGCGTAAAGTTTGCTCTATCGAATAGTATGCTCTATATTTTCTGAATTTGTCTTGTTGTCCTGCTATAAAAACGACATTCTTTTTTAACAACCTTAGAGTTGGTAAACACGTATTTGGTTGTCCCGAAAGTTCTATCGCTTCATTTTTGAAAATTTGTAACTTTTTGCTCTCTCGACGGATTTGCTCCTTTCTTAATTTGTTAGAAAGAAGAGGTCCTCCTCTTTGTGTTTCATCGATTCACTTCAACAATGCATTCACTGGGAAAATAAAAATGGAAAAAGAAGACCGCTTAAGCTCTAACCATTTTGAGTCAAGGTCTGGAACGCCGCAGATGATCTGAAATTGTCAGTACAAAACTTCTATGACCTAATGCTTTCGTAGTGACAAATCAATCAAAATGGCGTTTTTTATTGTGAGCTCGAAAATTATAATTTTTCGTAGTGACGTCCGAACAGCATTATCTTTTCTCAGATGCAGAGAATGGGTCATAAAACAGATTTTTCGGGGGCGTTCCAGACTTTTGGCGACCTAACTTAAGATAGTCAAAGGTCGAGTGATCTTCTTTTTCCATTTTTATCTCCGCAATGAATGTATAGTTAAAGCACATCGAGAATCTATTACAAAGAAGAGGACTTTTTCTTTAAATGAAATTAGAGAAGCAAATCCACTGAAAAAGCAGAAAGTATAAATTTCCAAAGAAACTACAGAACTTCCGGAACAACCTGATATTACATTTTCATTGATCACAGCCGAATTGTGCGTACAGTATATTTGAAAGGTTGGATTTGTAGGATGTTGCTGTGGATGAATCCCTCCCTACCTGTAATTGAATTCCACAGTGTAACAAGCAGCTATTCTAGCGGAGTTATGCAAGCACTGTAACGCCCAGCCACTTTTACAGTCTTCAATGTTGCAGTAGAGATATGCCAGCGAACCGCATGATGTTGTCGGAGATTCACAGCATTTGCACTATAATATTCACAGATACGGTATCTATTTTTCACAACGCAGAGATCACGACTCTCACCTCTTTGGAACCTTCGAACCATCGCTTTTTTGAAATAGAAGGTTTGTCTGCAGCTATGAGATTGAGAAACACTTGAAAACGGCCTCGCTGCAAATATTTGTTGTCCATGAAATTACTCAGCGTTGTGAACCAAAGAAAGCGATTTTCTTTTGTTGCAAATTATGTCTTAGATCAGAAATTCATCTTCAGTAGAACTACTGAATTTCTTTCATTATTGCGCAGTTCTTGCACCGAAATATAATAAATCGTCTTTGAATTTTCTACCAGACTAAATATGCATATGAAAGGTATTATTGATACACATTACAAAATCATCCTGAAACAAATTCACTTCAAAGGGAAATTGGAATTTATAACTTCATAGAGACATCCGGTCATTACCAACTGCTTTCAGTCAGAATCTGTGATAACACCGAGAATAAGGAAAAATTGAGAATCCAGTAAGCGTTCTAGAAACTTTAGAGATCAAATAGAAACTTTTTTAGCTTGGTCAACTAGTATAATACCGCTCATAGAATGTGCTGCTAGATTTTCTTGGATGTCGCAGAATTCCGGAAATTCTGCGATGGCCACGGAAATTTTGCACATTCTGTGAACGGTATTGTATGCTGCAATACGCTAACAAAGAATCTTGTTTCAAGCCATGCGGAAAACCCAACTTTCTCTCTCTATTGTGTATCACATCAGAAGTTTTCGTTGAAGTTGGAGAAAGTAAAAAATTTCAAAAAATCTTGTGCAAAGTTATGCACCAACCCAATCTATTTTTTCTGCTCCCAGCTGCCTTTTCTTAGGACAGAAAATCGTATATTCAATAAAATGCTGTAATTGTAAATTCTAATAGTTTAATTACAAGAGCTTGCACGAGCCATTTCAGATTACAACAATCCAAATGGACGAAAAAGTCTCAAAAATTATTTGATGGAATGGCTAGAAAGAGAAAGGTGCAAACAAAATCCAAAATATTATCAAACACAGTTAACGCCCATAAGTAATATGATGTCATGAATTGATATTGAGCAGTTTCTATTACACCGAAATACATTGTTCTAGCAGATCATGTTGTCATTATCCAGGAAAATTCAGCTAATCATACATAACATCTCGTAGATATAATAAGCTCACCCCTTTGTTAAGTCTCTTTTTGACTTCATCATCCACTCCTTGCACTTTACTTCGGATTAGCTGCTCGAGAGTGTTTCTGTTTGGTAAGCTGATGGTTCTCTGAAATAAGAAGAAGTGATCTTAGAGAATGCGTTTTTTAGCCCTTTTTACCTTGAAATCGTACTCCCTGGCAGATACTGACCCACACCTCTGACCGTCTGTCTGGGTATCACCAGGCAAAGAAGGTAGAAACTAAATAATAATGGTTTGAAAAATCAACAATGAAAATTTTTTTGGAAGATGAACGTATTACGAAGACCACTGGAAATAATGTACCTGATGCCCTTCTCCATTCAGTTCTTCTTGCAGACGCTCTCCAACCCCGCACAAATCACAATATCTGCTGAAAAATTATTATATCATATACAGTATAACGATTTCTTTTTTTGTTGCGCGGTCATCGCCTGTCTACGTCTGGCAAATGTTTCTGATTCAAATGCAAATCCGGTTATACTCGTTCCACTGTTCGATTATGTCCACTATTGGATATCGATGATATCGGAACATCCTAAGGTGATAAAAGCTAATCAATAAGGAGAGGAATTTCGCTTTTAGGAACTTATTCAGTTGAATTTGATAGTGGTTACAAAGTTTTCAATCACAGAAACAAAAGGATCGATGTTTTTTGCAATCAGTGTTTTTCCGAAAATTTCTCGTGTTCACTCAATGAATAATATTCATAATAATTATCCTCGAATTTGTAACTTAATATGCGAAAGTGCACACTTTGCGCAGCAAGCGACGGCACCTTTACTAGCAACGTTTTATCAAAACCTTTTCAAGCCTAATAAACCTCAAATTCGTGTTTTACTAACTGACGTAGATCCAACAAAAGCAAAAACAGATAGACAAACAAGAAATCATTGGAAATGAGCCGTTTTAATCTTGGAGTTCGTCAGATAGCGCACATGGTGTGCAGTATGCACATTAAGTTACGAATGACTCGACAATATGTTGTTGGGATGCTTTCGCTCTCTTTTGTCAATCCAAACAAGCCAAATGGAGCCCTTCATTGAAGTCAAAAATAGGGTAAAAATAAAATGGGCATCATAAATAAAATCGGGTTTAACTCTACTTTGAGAAGTGGTGGCGGGGCAAACTTCTGCGACATTTGATGGCTGTCTTGGCCAATAACAACCGGGTTCTAACTTTTATTGATTGAAGTGTATTGACCAAGTGTAAGGTTCGTTAAAAGCATTGGATATATCACGAGCTTCTCCCTCGTCCGCTTCTCTTCCCTTTATACCGTCAGCGGGGCCCGCCTTCCTTACATCGTGAGAATCACGACAATGGCTTACAACACACCATTTGGTGGAAAATGACTCACTGGTAAGAAAGACCTTTTTTGAATTAATAACTTCTAACCTGTAAAAAATCATGCGCTTTACGACTGCATTCAAAACATCTTTTAACACGCTCATTGCAGAGTTAGAAGCTGTAAAAAGAATTTATATTTCTGATTTATTGTGTAAAATAGCGTTTGTGTAAAATGGCGTCTGAGCGTTTGTCAAGAATGGGTCGCGAAATTTTTAAAATTTCGTTAAGAGAGTTATAAAAATGTGCAAGTGACTTGTTTATTCTTTGAACAGTTAGAATGATTTTTGAGATTTTTGAATACTCAAATTAGCTTTGTAAAGCATCACGCCCCCTTCCCGCAAAAATTTTGAGAAGCACCTCAAAAATTTTTTCGGAGTGCGCACTAACGCCACGCACCTTCATTTGAAAAAATATTTTGCCACGCTCCCCCCCCCCCCCCTTCCCGAACGGAAATCCTACGATCGCCATTGGAGTGTTGTGAACTGCTGTGAGAAAATCATTGCTGGGATATTTTGTCAAAAGTTATAATTTTCGAGTTGCAAAAAAATCATATTTGCAGTTTTGCATTGCTTACTTAGAAATCATTCTTCTTCAAAAAAAATCTCGATCAACACATTTCGCTCAGAAAGAGTAGATGAAACGTTTGACACCAACTGTTTGATTTTTAACAAGTTTCAGGTTTTTGGCAACCCTTCACAGAAACACCAAAATTTGAGTATTTATCTTCTATCTTTATATATGCATGTTAGAAATTATTTTAAGAGATATTGTAAGCGCATAATCTTCTCTACAAAGCAGGAATTGTGCTAATGCTCTGAAAGAGTAAGAAGTTTGAATTTTTGAGAATGATGCGAACGAAATTCCAAACCAAAATAGTAAATAGAATGAGCTCACAACTTTTGCTTCAAAAAGTTAACTTACCAATATTGTCGTCCATTTCTTTCGATTATACCACTAAATTCATCGCATTGTTGTGAAAGTAATCCAGTTTCTGGCACCATCGTATACGGTAAGTCAAATCGAATACCTCAAGAATAAATTGTGTTCATGTTGCTCGTTTTTTTTGTCGTGCGCTACAAGGGGCTATTACCAGCTGGTCCTTCGATAATGGGCACTTGTAGTGTAACGCCAATTTCACCGGCTAAAAAGCCAAAATCTTTCTCCACTTTGATCCGCTTGAAGTGCAATGAGTAGTTTCCAGGAGCGTGGATGTAATATACCTAAAAGCTCTCATGTTGGGAGTCTTGAAGCTGAATGGTAATGTCTTACCTTGTTTCCCTTTTCATTAATAATATTTACATCTTCATCTTCTATTTTTATTTCATTTTTGACTGAAAAATGAGATATTAGCAGATGGACAACAGTATAAATCACCAGTTCACTATTGCATGTTTTTTTAGGTTTGCTTTTCAAATCAGTCTATGTTTAGAGGTTTTATGACAACTAACTACTTGCAATAAATTAACTGCTTTGTAGAAAAAATCATTATTTATCCTTCTAATTGCAATAACTTACCTCCTCTGCAATTATATAAACTGATTTCATCAATAAGAATGTAGAGATCCTCGTAAGCTGAGCACAAAATAACCAGTATAGATAAAATAATTAGTAATCGCATTTCATGTGGTGAACTAAAATATGGAAGATACTCCAGTACAAAGCATGAAAACTGTGAATAAATAAACGGTAAGATATGTACGAAAATACAAAAATGGAGTGGAAAGAACTAGATTTTGAAAAGAATGGTATATTTGTCGCAAAAAAGAAAACGTAGTTATAATAATTAATACGAGGAAAACAAAAAAGGGAAAACATAAATGAACTAATAAATTTTGGGCTCATAAAAGTTGCAATAAAATGAATCGTGAACGAGATAAATAAATATATAAGAAATTGGGTGTCGTGATGATTGAATGAATTCAGAACGACAAAATAGGGGTTTCTAGAATGAATATGACAGCTTGTGCTTCTGAAAAGTGGAGAAATGAACGGAGAACTGTCACACTCAATTTACCAGCTCAAATGGAACAGATGAAGGCTCTGCTTAAATACGAAATCAAAAGTATGTCCCTCAAGTAACGAAATCGGCAACACCGGACCCAAAGTAAAGCTTCTTTAGCGAATCCCTTTGCGCTTTTTTATCCTCTGAACCGGTCATTCAACTGGATATCTTCACAATTGCCTGCACGAAGCGCTCACATATCGCCCTCGTGACGTACGCAATGATGATTCATTATCTTCAGGATGGAAATAGAAACATGTCAGAATAAGTGAGGAAATTCTTGGTTTTCTCCCCAATTTCACATTTTTATGAGAAGCTGTGTGCATAAATGAAAGAAAAAAAGAACTATCACAGCACTTTTAATCGAAGACATCGATAGAGCGCGTGGAGAAACATAAAGCTACTGGATGCAGTAGCTGATCATAATCAATAAAGAAACAGCAGAACATCGAGTAATGTTATTTCAACTGTATCACAATTCAATTCTAAGCACAAAAAATCCTTGGTGCTGAGTTTTGCCATTGCCTATAATCAATCTCAACCATATTGATCTAGAATAAATGCTAAATTTATCATTACGAAAAGGGAAGAAGTTGTTTGTTCGCAACACACAAATTACGCTCTGCGAGCGGAAGGATTATGTACATATTTTCCGTTCTATCTCAATTAATTTTCCAAAGTCAAGGAAAACTCCCGAAGAATTTTGCTTGAACCCAGAATTGTAGTGGAAACGGACAATAATTTGTTGATTATGACATACATAAACTTTTGAGACATAACGAGATCATCATCTGACCATTCCCAACAGCTTTTCTCCTAGTGACAAGAAAAATTGTTATCGTGCGCGAAGACACCCGTTTTTGAGAAAAGTTGTCGACATCTTTCCCAGAGCAGTCGGCTAATCGAGTGTTATATTCCAAATTTTTGGATTACAATTGCTTGTTAGTGATGAAATGGAGGACGCATGAGCTAGATGCTTATACAATCTCTTCAAAAAAAATGAGAGCAATTCAAGCTCAGAAGATTGCCAAGTTTCAAATTGTTTTCATCGTAAAACAAATTCTGAGGTCATAGTGTCTCAATTTGTCTGGCAAAGGAGCCTTTTTTCAAGGCATGTCTGAGATTAGATGTTGCAAAACAGAGAACAAATGTCAAATAGATATTGTCTTTGAAAAACTGGCACGGCAGCAAGTTATAAAAATGCTTGGCTGCCTGAAGGGTAAGTATCTTTGAGATATGGTGCTAGCGCAAGCAACCTAAAGAATCTTTTTCTTTGTCCCTATTGTCTCTAATATCATTGAAGTGACTTTTGTCAACCAATTATGCAAAAAAAGAGTCTATACTTTGAAATGTAATTTAATACTAAGGACGAAATTACGAGGTAAAAAAAAGTAAGGCTTGAGCAGGTTTATTTTAACAAAACACTATCTATAGCTTCATTCTGAAATCTATGGAACGTTGCTCTCATTTAGCTGAGATGAATAAAAGAGGAATCGTTACATAATTATGGGAACAAAAAAAGGATTAGATGAATTTTTTTTCGCGAAATTCGATTTTGTACAGTAGGGACGAATTGCGAAATGCAAAAAGAGCAGGACTCGTGCAACTCTAATAATACTATCTATATCTTTATTCCAAAGTTTTTGAACGCTGATCTAATTTAGCACAACCATGAATGAAAGAGACTGCTATGAAGAGGCTAGTGAACAAGAATAGTGCGCAAAATCCACGAGCCGAATGACTAGGTCCGGCGGCTGGTTCTCCAATCAACTAGTTGCTAACGCCGCATATAGGCATAATAACGCATGTTCGGCGAACGAAGTGGATGCAACGAAGAAGCATATGAATAGAATCGCGACTGAGTGTTCGAGGACGAATTGCCAGAGGGTCGAGCGTAATTTTGGAGAAATGAGGAACACCCAAGGGCTACCGCAGCTAGATTCTATGAGAAGAAGATGACCGTTGGAGAAAATCGCAGTGACTAAGCTGCAGCGGCTCAAGACCGCTCAGAAACTTGTTGGATTTGCGACATCGACGTACAAAACTTCTAATAGCTCTCTCAATGCTTAGCTTTGAGAACAGGTCGAAAAGCGGCTGAGCCTCGGACAGAACAGCATATACAAAAATCCCCAAAGAGTCAGTCATCTGTAACGGAGATTGAGTGAGAGTGTACGTATGATGATACGAGATCGATGTGGGTGCGAACGAACGAGGTCAGCGAGACGCGATGAATTGCGCTAGAAAGCGACTGAAGATGGCCCGTTACCTCCTTTCTCTCAACATATTGTCCAGGGTGCCCAGGGTATTATCTTGCTGGTAAGCCTGGTCCGACAGGGTTTCAGTCGGTACACCTGTCTAGCGTGAGGGTCCAGGCATGCCATTTGGTGTTGGGCACACCATAGCACATTGGCCGACTGGTGTGCAAATTATTATCCGTTAAGGCTATCGTACTACTAGCTCAAGCTTGCTACGTATGGAAGAAACACTTGAAAGTTTATTTTTGCCAATGATTTGTGGACTTCGTATTTTCGTTATGTTCGGGGCCTTCTCATGTCTCTGATTCCGCATATAAAATCGAGAATCCGCGAAAATCTCGACATCCCCGTCCCGGAGAACCCGTACGCCAATTTTCCGGAACGATGATTGGATGACGCGAATGTGGGCGGGCATTACTAAAGGGGGTGGTGCCGACTTGGGGTCCTCAAGCCTCCTCGCTGTTTCGGAGCGATTTTCTCGCTTTCTAAGCGACATTTTACACCGCAAATTGGGCATTGGCTTGATAGGGGGTTCTACGATCGTAAGCTGCCAAAAGCTTAAGACCCTCAACATAGGGTGGATGGTGCCTTTAAGCAGTTTCATGTCTCGCAGTCGGGTTGGAACACTCAATGCCCCTTTTACCTCTTTCACGGGACTTTCTTCTCCGGTATATCTACTCCTAATGTTAAACAAGCTACATTTCTATGGCACAGCTTCTTCTTCTCGCGCTGTAATTCTGTCATGGGTAGAAACGGAAGTTCTTGTCTTCTGTAAAAAAATAATTCTTGCCATCTCAAAGATGCTTTGTACTGATTTTTGATGGAAAGAATAATCGAATACATTGCAACGGCGCCTCGAGGTTTCCAAATGCACGCTAATGGCGAGAAAAATGGAAAAAAGTTGACCACAGCTTTGATTACACATACGTCAAAAAAAAGCTCTGTTTTGTTGCCAACATTTCAGAATTATTAGAATTGTCGACAATCTGCTATTCATAATGAGGGGCGCATTCATGATAATTTTAGATATTAGGTTGTAAAGAAAGTTCCCGGGCACTTTTGAAAATTTCTTTCTCAAACGATTTTTTTGACGCTTAGTCGGACTTTGACAGTTTCTCTGTACAGTTCAGTAGAGGGAAGCCTGAAGTTTTCAATACGCCTTCTGACTTTCATTGATGCCAAGACGTGTTAGATCTGCACATCAAGAACAGAAATCTTTCCAACCACAAAAATTTCACAATTTTTCTTCCTACTGCCGTTCTTTGTGCAATTCAAAGAATTTCGTGCAAATCATGGGTGATATGATTGAGAAACCTGCCAACTTCTGGCCCGCACCTGCACTCGAGTTATGCGATTTACGCTCAGAAATTACAAGCTGTCGAACTTGCCTCTGACTGCAACTCTTTTCGCAGCTGGCGTCGCTTCTGTGGAGATCGCCACCTGGATGATGGATCCAAAAGATGTGCAAGGCATTACCCCCACCAATGTTGCCAGTAATCAAAGATTTGGTCCTTTCTGTGCAGAACTAGAAGACTTCAAAGTTACTTACTCGAAAAATGGTGCATTTTTTGGGCAAAAAATGGTCAACTTCTCAAACTTCCTGGGGGAAATTTTTTTGCAGATGGTCCTTCAAAAACATAAATGGTGCGAATAACAGCCCCAGCAGACCTCTATAATTACAGCATCTGGGCTCTCCAGCTCTCATCCTGCCTAAGATAATCCTGCACAAATAGGCCACTTTTTGCGACGACCTTTTTCCCTTCTGCGCATGCAGGTGGACCGCTGTGAGGTGCTGAAAAGCCAGCAAGACAAATAAGGTTGATTCATAAAATCGTGACGACGGTTGACTGCAGCCTTAACGCCCACAGAAAATAACACCCTTTTACAAAAAAGCATCACCTTAACGCTCAGCTCAGTCACTTCCAGTGCCCAAGTTCTATCATACCCAAGCAGAAAAACCAGTCGAGTAGAGATTAAAACCAAGATAATGCGGTTGCCGGAAGGTGCGTGCGAGTCGCGCGCGCTCGCGCCATCGTCACGAACTCTCGAATGTCCCCTATACAATACCGCTTATAATTCGTCAAAAAAGTCGCCGGACCGCGGCGCACTCCGCGGGAGAAAACTCCGTTCATAGAGGTTTTTAGACACGCTGTTTATGAAAATCGTGTTTCCCGTAAGTATAGGGTCTTCTTGCAGAGATATGGTGAGGTAAATGTAAGTAGTCACGAAAGCTCGTAAATTCGCCTGCACCTCTCGCGTATTTGTCAGAAAACCTGCCTGGCTGCTTATAAGGTTAAAGTTACTAGGAAGTGTACAAGCCTAGGAAAACACGTATTCAATTTTTCCTAAAATGTAAAGATC